TATTTTCCCACTGCAACATCAAATTCCATTTCACAGCAGCAATTGCAGAAACAGGAGTAAAGGTTCCTCCTGGGATGTCCAGCCTTCTTTACTCAGGCCATAACTACACAGCAGCTTACTAAGTCCAGCGCTGGCACCCCCAGCAATATCATGCTGCCCCATATGGCCTCAAACTGGAAGAAGGGTAGCCACATCCCATTTGGTGAACCAATTAGTACAAGGATGGTTAAGCAGTAATATCACTCAATAGTGCTAATTTACCTTCTCAAAAATACTTGCAAACGCAGCTGTACTACTTCTGGTTTAGGATGCCACAGGGCATGCCCAAAGTCACCACTGACAAGCATGGTAAAATCACCATGTAGACATGGCCAAGGAGAGATTATGGACACCACATAATCTTCCTCTACAGAAATTCTCAACATCTCAGGCCACAGTTCTTTCCTTTTATGTACTGCTTTCCCTTGCAATAGTAAACATTTCTCACAAGATTAAATAAAACAATAGTTCCCCAGTTATATAAATAAAAGAATGTGTTTGATATTTATATTGGATCAGAGGGCTCATTATTGTGTTATTTGTTCTGCAAAAGGCAATAGTTATATATCCCATGATAAATGCCAGGTATGAAAGATGTTGGTTGGATGGTGTTCAACAAAGACCAAAACTAAGCTACAAAGTTTTGCTATATTGGAAAGTAGTGTGAAAAAGAAAATCACAACACTAACTGACATAGTTATATTGGCAAAACCACTGGTACAGATGCAACTATGACAGTGAAACAGTACTTCTGTCAGCTTAGCTTATGTTGTTCAAGGAGGTGGTACAGCTATTAGGGGTGTGTGAAGTGGGCCCTATTGAATTCAGATTTGGCCTGAATCAGGGACAGTGATTCAATCTGTTGATTCAGATCACTGTCCCCGATTCAATTTAGCCGAACCTGAAGATTCAATGCCGATTCGGAGAATCAGCGATTCAGACATATGCAGCTTTAAATGTTTTTTCTACATACCTCGAAGTACCAGCATGGCTTGTGAATGTTGAGATGCTGGGGCAGATGGCGCATCCCACAGGAGTGTGGGGGGACCTTCCATATGCTCAGCAGCAAACCCAGAAGTGGACCGGAAGTACTTCCAGTCCACTTCCAGGTCTGCCCAGGAGCACACGGGGGGGTCCCCTCCTCACGCTCCCCCGGCTTAGCTATTGGCCACGGGGCCCCACCAAGACCCAGGAGGCACCAGTCACCAAGCTGGAAGTGGACTGGAAGTGCTTCTGGTCCACTTCTGGGTCTACTGCTGAGCGTGTGGGGACCCCCCCCCCACACACACACACACACTTCCGTGGGACGCTCCATGCACCCCAGTATTGCAGCACTCATGAGCCATCTGCTACCTAGAGGTATGTAGAAAAAACACTTAAAGCTGTGTCTATGTCTGAATCTCCGAATCTTTCCAATTCAAGTCAGAGAGATTAAAGAGTCCTCCGATTCAATTTGGATTCAGAGATTCGGTGGCCAAATTGGCCAAATCTCTGCCGAATAGAATCAGGGACCAAAGCTTCGCACAGCCCTAATAGCTATGCCAGTCATTTGTCAATATATACTATATCTAAACAAATTGGCACTGCCAATATAGATATAGCCTCAGAGTTTCTATTAATATTAACATTCCTAGGTAAAAGATACTCTCAATGTGAGACAACAAGAATATAAGTTTTTCCTCTCATTTATTTATCTGTGTGGTTTAAGGTTATTGCTTTTGAGTCTTTATATTATAGATACAAATAATTTAAGCCTTAGATATTTGTGAAATATAGATGTGTGATATGCTAAAACACAGTCAGAAATAGTAGATAGATTTTGTAAAGTGATCAAGAACCTAAGGAAAAAGAAAGAGGCCATCTAAAAAATTCAGATTTTAATTGATCTGTTTAACCTTCTTATTTCAGCCTACAGGCTTAAAATTGCAAAAAACATCATCTGACTCTTGACATTTTAAATAAGACAGAAATGTCTGTTATGATGGTTGGTCTCAAATCACATTTTTCTGCAGCAGTAACATTTGCAGGCAGCAATGTTGCTATCCTACATAAATCTCTTGAATGTGCAAAAATTTTCTGTATGGTATTATTTGTATTATAGTAGCATCTAAGAGCTTTTAATACATTTTGAAAGATCTATCACCATTTTTGATCTGCATGAAAGGCTTAATTTGGTTTCAGTTTAATATTCTACATGAAAGCTCTAGGAAGGTTTGGCTCTCCCTTTATCCAAATTGGTTCACCATCACCTGACTGATCCTTGGAGGTATGGAAGCACTCAGATCACAAGCTACAACTCAAAATTGATAAACACAGCTAACCCATTTACACACCATCATCTAGTTTGATTTAATATACAACTACCACCTCATTTGTCTGGGCATCCTGATATTCTTAAATCCATTAATAATCCAATAAAGTCCCTGCAGCCCTAGAACTGTCATTTCACAAAACCAGCTACCTACAGAAATTCCTTTCTAACCCTGTATAGGTATGGTGAGCACACCCTCAGCCCTCTCAAAAACCCCTGTCAGTAAAATAGTTTTTGCAATATGTCCAGGAGGTCACCAAACCTAAGCTATGTCAGATGAATGGAAGGAGAGCAAGCTGTCTCAAAACCCTCGCGGACAATGCTCCACTAGCCAGTCCCTCTCTTTCATAACAGAATGACTCTATTGCCTCCCCCTTCTCATCGAAAGCAAGGTCCTCTTACTTTCAGTGTTCAATCTAACATTGCCCTCTTTTGTTTTGCACCTTGTTCTCTCCACTCCCTAAATGATTACCTTTGATAATCTATTTGTCTACTGTTTTGTTTTTTTACATATGTCTTCCTATTTTCTTGCATGCCTAAAAAGCTCTTCCAAGGCTGATTGACAAGGTTTCCTACTCATTCAAATCATAAGACCCATTTCTGTTGTGATAATTACCTAAAATTGAACTACTGTATTTAGATATTACTCTAGATTTAAGTAACATCAAAAATTCTAAGTTCCCCTGTATTGTGCTCTAGATAAAGAATCTGCCTAACATTACTGCAGTTTTCTTACCTATATTTCTCCCTCTTATCATTTTATCCCCTTCTTATGCCCTATCAAATATAACTTATAAGCTACTTCTGAGCAAGGATCTCTCTGCTTGGACAGTCACCTTGGGAACCTTGATGCAAATATACATAAATAATAAATGGACCATAAAAACAGCAGTCTACATCAATCAACTCTTTCACTCTGTCCCTTCCTGCTCTAAGATAGGAAAAGCAGTCTCTGTTCAGGCAGAAAATCCATAGTGGAGGAAAAAATCCAGTACCTGAATTAATGTCCTGTACTGCCTGAATCTTAAGCTTATGTCCTGTCTGATTTTAGAGGCATTCTACTGCTATTTGCACAGCACACAGTCCATTGCTGCTACATAGCCGGTCTGTTACTTTATGCTCTAAAAGGTAAATTGTTTCTACACATCTAGGCAACCTGGAGATTATTGCTATTGTTATGAGCATTTACTCAATTCATACACATTTTGGGCACTCCTTCTGTAAAGATGAGAGATTGTATATGTAAGACATAATTGCTAACAACCTGGTAAATTGTCCAACAAGCTCAAACAAACATATCATTACCTTTTTCTTGTTTGTATATCACAGCAGAAGTAGTGAAGTGTAAACAGAGATATCTAAACATATGAAACACCCCTAAAGGCAAAGTTATCATTGAAAATTTCACCCTTGAATATCTGGATGCCGATTTCCAATCATCGCAATTAAGACTTTCAATGTTAATTGCATCCAGTTCCTTTAGGCAGCTTTGAAAGCCTCAGACTTAGGACTCATTTGAGGTTCAGACAGCCAAAACAGCAGGAGGAAGGGAGGAAACAGGGCTTTGCATAATGAGCACAAATACCAAATGTTCATCAGAAGTGAGAATAGTGACCTAATGCTATAAGCTGAATTTAAGAAAAAAATTAATGGTTTTTGCCATGCTTACAGCAAGAAAAAAAGTGTTATCGGAAAACATCATTTCTCATTGAATTATATTCACTATTTTTGTACAATTCATAAGTATTTTACATGAATAGTCAAAGCAAAGGCTCTCTATTTTGCATAGCTCTACAGTCCTGGACACATTCTAAGACTGTTCTTGATATTATTGACCCCAGTAAGACTTGCATGCACGTATCTTAGGGAAGAATTTGGTTAAGTATACGTGTCACAGGCCAGCTGGGCACTAAGTGTATCAATTTGGTTGCAGGCTGACTGGGTGCTGCAACTGTATCAGCCACTAGGTTGTTTCATTCGGGATTAAGGAGAGAGAGTTGAGAGTAAAGCAAAGACAAGTTTCACTTAAAAACAGTAAAATAAATTTTACTTATAGCAGCAAAATAGCAACAAAAATATGTTTAAACAACAAAATATGGTTTACATGTATAACAGTTAATAAAAAGGTTAAGCTAATAAACGGACAATATAGCAATAAAAATTAAAAATTGGTAGTGATAATAAAAACAGACAGTCAAATTGACAAAGAGTTCCCACTTGGTTGGCAACTTATCAATAGTCCCTCAGTGCCAGGTACACATCAAGTTGATCCAGCGAAGTCAGACGCCCCCGATCAACACTGTTGGAGGGAGCACCAAGGAAGGTCCCTCAGTCAGGATCTGGTCCTTGCTCACACTGGGAGTCAGGAATCTGAACTTGGAGCAGCAATGACCATTCTGTTCCGTCCTTCCTACTGGTCACCTGATATGCGTGTTCCTTTATCCTGTCCTATGCTAATCTGTTGGCTTTAGAGCCACTCACAATCTTACCCTACAGCTGTTACCTTATGGGGTTAAAAGGTGTTAGAAATTGTTATAATAGGTTACTGCCTAAACTTGGGTTTACCCAATAAGCAAATTACACCACATTACTCTGGGGTCTGAGATTAGCATTTTTTCCTGCCTAAGTTCAACCCACTTGGTATTTTTTTAAATGTGTTAATTATACCTTGTGGTCAGGTTTGTCAATTTTACTGACCTTTAAGT